CAGCGCATGAAATGGGCCGGACACATTGTAAGAATGAATGATGACAGAACAACTAAAAGAATCTTTTTGGCAAGGCCAACTGGAGTTAGAAAGAGAGGCAGACCCCGACTGAGATGGGCGGATTGCCTCCAAAGGGACTTTACCACAATCAAGGTCAGAGACTGGAAAGCCGTGGCACGCAGAAGAAAGGACTGGTGCAGTCTTCTTGAGAAAGCCAGGGTCCACCGAGGACTGTCGAGCTACTGATGATGATGATGATGTCAATACTTTACAATTTTACTGATTGAGTTATCTGTTTTACTTGAGGATACACTCCGGAGTTTTGTTGAGTATCTTAATATTCAATTTCATTGCCATAAAAACGAAATGTTTGTGCTTGGTACAATAAAGCTACTTTTAACTCATGTGCATGACTTCGAACCACCCTGTTCTTTTAATAAATAGTATAGACGCCTCAAAGTTACGCGATTCTCCCATTCTTCACACTTTCCCCATTGCCATAGTTAGGGAAAATATTATTTTCCTCCCTCTGTAGTACGTTTTAGCAAGAAATGGGAATGTCCTGGCTTGAGGAAAAAGCAAGATTTTGGTAACGGAGAGGCTACAAGTATGAAGAGTGAGAAAATCGTGTCACCTTGATGTTTATATTTTTTTTTACAAAGAATACAGTAGAGCCGTGTTGGCTCAGAGGATAGAGCTCTCGCTTCCCGTTGAGGTGACCTGGGTTCGAATCCCAGATACGACTAATCTGCACTTAGTTGTTCTCAATGCTGTGTGGTATTACTATTAAGCATACTTTAACCGATCGAAAACGATTCAAATATTTGAGGAACAAACTTTTAAGCAGTTTTTATCCCGATCTTCAATTTTTGCTTGGTGGCCCAATACATCACTTTTTGAAGTTTATCAAGACTATAGGACTTCATTTTTTACTTTAAGAAAAATATGTCGGTTCAACCTAGAGACCAATTTTAACTTAATGACGGGAGCTGTATAGCTATTTCTGTTTCTTGTGCCAATAAACTCCAACCAACCAACCCAGCGATGATTGGTTAATATGAATTCCGCACCAGTCGTCTTGCCGTCGGTTTAACCCTGGGAGGTTTTCATCTCCTGTTACGCAAATGCGGGTTAGTTTCCTCAAAAAGTCCTTCACAAAGGCAAGTTTTTCCCAATACTTGATTCAGGAGCTCCCTTGTTTTTGGATTGGGTTCACAATATTGATAGTTGAGCATTGATAGTCGTAAACTCAAAATTGGAGGGGGGTCAATGATGGTTATAAAAACAAATAATAAAAACAAAAGGTACATTAATAAATTTTTGTTACATGGGAAGCACTGGTGTACGTGTGTGAAGTAGTGTAATCGCTTTTGATATTCTTGGGTTAAACTTTTTTCGAACATTCCAAACATCCATCTATTGTGCATTTATATTCTAAATTCAAAACTGTTCTGTGCATATGCATATAAAGCTTTATCTAATCTCAAATATATCAGGATTAAAAATAATGGAACTTTGTATTAACTTTATTATTTTTTGAAAGTCCTTTATACCTAGGAAGTATAATGGGATATTGGATTAAGAAACTTTAATGCTATACTGTTATACTTACTCGAATACGAAAGAAACATATAGACATGCATCCGGGTCCCAGTACTGCCTCCATCAAACACAATAACGTATTTTTCTAATGGCTTTTCAAACATGAATATTTGTATTGATAAAATGAATCCTGGGTTCAATTGCAATACCAGTAATATAAATAGCGATATGACGATGCAAAGAATGC